ACACACACACATGGCACACTCAAATGGACGGCATGGCTGCGTGTGTGTGCCGTGTGTGTGTGTGTCTGTGTGTGTGTGTCACATGCATGCAGTCCGTCTAAGCGAGCGTTGCCCGAGCTCAACATCGACGATGCGGTGCCGCTGGCGGACCATATTGGGTGCCTCAGACCAGAAGCCGAGAAAGCCATCGAGCAGGTCAGAAAGGCATTCTTGACCCCACACATGCACTGCACTCAGTGGAGTGGGCGGATACGTGTGTTTGGTGTGTGTGTGGTGTGTGCCTGCCAGGTGTTTGGCAAGATCATCTGTGCCAAGAACCTCGGTGCTTGGCACAGATGGGATGCCTGGGGACACAGCCGCACTGCACCACACACACAAGTGTAATGGATTGCTGCCTTTATGTGTGTGTGCGCGCATTATGCTGAAGACACTGCGCATCGTCTGACGAAGCAGTACGATGTCGACTGCGTCACGCCTCATGGCGAGAAGGTCACACCCATCCCGGCCATCCCACCCCCCCGCCCCCCCCCACACAAACACACACACACAGAGACAGCACGGCAACCGACTGCTGCGATACGCTCACACAGACCAACCGCAACGGTGTCATTCGCGGCGGCTCCACGGCAAGCCTCAAGAAGATCACCCGATTCGCAGAGTGAGTGGGGCTGTTAACAGCCATGCCATGTGTGTGCCGGGCCTTTTGTGTCCATGGGGTGTGTGTGTGTGTGGACAGGTTGCGTGTGGTTGAGGGGAAGCTGGCAGAGATCGAGAAGGAGCTCCACGACAAAGAAACAGAGAAGAAACAGATATCACAGGTAGGTACCCTCCCTCCGCCCCCTCTGCGTGGGAATCCCTCTCTCTTTGTCTCTGTCTCTCTCTGTGTGTGTGCTTTCTGTGTGCCTTCGTTCAGCAATTCGACGGTTGTTTTGAGGAGGAGGCCAAGTTGGGTCAGGAGCTGGACATCATCAGACACAAAATACTCAACATCGTCCAGCAGCAGAAGCAGCGAGACGAGTAACCACACCCCCAGACAGACAGGCAGACAGACAGACACAGAGAGGTGCGGCATCTGCCCACGTGTGTGTGTGATGGTGGCCGGCAGGGAGCAGCAGAAGTTCGCTCAGAAGCGCAAGCACTGGGAGGACACCATCGTACGCCACACAGCCACACACAGACACACACCACATGCCCTGGATGGACAATCATATGTGTGTGTGTGCAGAAGCGCAATGAGGCCGAAACTGAGCTGCTCAACAGACAGATTCAACGGTCGGCCACCCGCCCTCACACACGCACACTCACACACGCACACACACACACACAGATGGGATGTGTCTGCCGCAGTCTGCGCACCGAGCGGCTGACGATGGGGCTGGGCGAGCTCACAGAACACGAAACACAGAGACTCACGTGAGTGCGGTTATGGGCCCCAAGCCAACACACGCTCACAGTGTGCTTGTTTCCTTCCTGCAGCACGATAGCGGCCGAGATCAAGCAGCTGGAGCGAGAGGTGGAGCGGCTCAGAGGCATCACAAAGCAGGTAGGATGGATGCCCCACACCATCGCCCCACATCCCACACACGCACGCCGTGTGTGTCGTGGTCGTGCCTGCCTTTGGTGCAGCGTCGCGACATGGTGTCTGACGCCGAGCTGCGGCTCAATGGCGGGCTGCAGAAGAGACAACGAGAGGTATAGATAGCCACACACACCACACACAGAAATTCCACCGTATGTCACGCGTGATGTGCGTGTGGGCGGATGGCTCACTCCACAGATAGAGGAGCTGTTGGCGAGCCCGGAGGACGCGGCTGCGGGGGAGCGGAAGGAGACCCTCGACAGGGAATACAAAACTCTGGAGAAGGAGAAGCGAACGGTACCTATACACCAGCGCACACACAGGCACACAGCGTTGATGCGATCCGATCGCACCAAGGGTGGGCTGTCCACTCCACCTCACTTCCGTGACGTGGGTGGCGTGATGTGGTGTGGTGTGGTGTGGTGTGGTTCAGTTGGAGTCGCAGAAGGAGCGTGTGGAGCAGGCTCTCAAGGAGAAAGAGGTATATATTGGATGCACTGCAGCATCCATGCGTCCCTTTATGTGTGTCTGTCTGTGTGCGCGCGCGTGTGTGTGGTATTTATAGTCTGTGGTCAAGAAGTGTCAGAAGGTCATGGACGAGGCCCAAAAGACTGACGACGGACTCTCAAACGAGCTATCCGTCAGCCACACACACCCACACACACCCCACCCCACCCCACACACATCTGCAAATGTGTCTGTCAATGTGTTTGTGTTCAGAACTTCGATGCCCGAGAGGAGGAGCTCATGCGCAAGCGCGAAGAGCAAGAGTCAGCCCCC